GGAAATGTTATAACCTATGGGTCTAGGCAATTGAAGAGTTACGAGAAAAATTATCCCACCCACGACTTAGAACTTGCCGTTATTATCTATGCTTTGAAGACTTGGTGCCACTACTTGTACGGAGAGACTTTTGAGATTTATACCGACCATAAGAGCTTGAAGTACATATTCACTCAGAAGGACCTTAACATGCATTAGAGGTATTGGATAGAGCTCCTCAAGAACTACGATTGTAACATTTTGTATCACCCGGGTAAGGACAATGTGGTGTCGATGTGCGCAGTAGAAAAAGTGCGGGTATGTTAGTTCACCTAATAGTTTCTAAATGTAAGGTAATAGAGGCCACACAACATATAAGACTTCAGAACTTGAAGAGAGTTACATGTTTGGCCTACTTGATTATTCAACCTAAATTGATCTAGAGAATAAAAGAAGCTCAATCCACCGATTCCATTCTAGCAGCTCTTAGGAAGGATGCAGAACAATGAGTAAATTCAGAATTCTGAGTCTCTGTTGATGGGTTGCTCAAATTTCATGACAAGTTGTGTGTTCTAGGTGACAATGAATTGAAAAGGGATATCATGATAGAGACTCATAGCTCAAAGTTCGTCATGCATCCCGAAAGTGCTAAAATGTATCAAAGTATGTGACTCTAGTTTTGGTGGAGCAGGATGAAAAGAGAGGTAGCTGACTTTGTTTTCAAGTGTCTAGTATGTCAACAAGTTAAAGCAGAACATCAACCCCCCAGGCGAGCTACTTCAACCATTACCAATCTCGAAGCAGAAGTGGAAATATATCATAATGGATTTCGTGACAAGGTTGCCTAAGACACGTTCAGGATATGATGTTATTTGGGTAATTATCACTAAGTCTTCTCACTTCTTGCCTATCAAGAATATCGACCCATTGGACAAGTTAGTAAGAATGTATATCTAGGAGATAGTCAGGTTACATGGAGTTCTAGTGACAGTGGTATTTGATAGAGACCCTAGTTCACTTCTCGATTTTTGTCTACTTTTCAGCAAGCCATAGGAATAAAACTGTCCCTTAGTATCATATTCCACCCTCAAGCTGATGGACAATTAGAGAGAACAATTCGCACACTAAATGATATGCTCCGAGCTTGTATTCTAGACTTCAGACTATTAAGATGATCATCTACCTTTGATAGAGTTCGCCTATAATAACAACTAGCAGGTAAGTATCGGCATGGCCCCGCACAAGACATTATATGGCCGCCCCTATAGGTCATCGATTTGTTGGAAAGAGATAGGTAATAGAAGATTATTCGGCTTAGATCTTGTGGAGGAGACTACAGCTAAGGTAGTTAAGATCGGGAAGAACATCCAGATAGCTCATAACATGCAGAAGAGTTATGCAGACACTCGAATGAGGGATTTAGAATTTGAAAAAGGTGATCAAGTGTTTCTTAAGGTCACCTATTTCAAAGGGATCAATAGGTTTGAAAAGATAGGGAAATTAAATCCCTGGTTCATTGGATCATTTGAGATCTTAAATCGAATTGGTACGACTGGCTATAGATTGACACTATTTCTAGAGCTACCTAGAGTTCATAATGTGTTCCACGTATCCATGCCACGCAAGTACAACCCAGACCCTCACACATCTTGTCCCACGAGCCCCTTTCACTCTAGAAGGATCTATCCTATGAGAAGGTGTCGATAGACATTGTAGACCGGAAGAGTAGAGTACTTTGCAACCAAAAATTTTTTTTAGTCAATGTTATATGATTGAAAATAATTTTGGGAAAGAGATGTGAAAATTTGAGTTCGGGAGGTATTTTTTGAAAAAATTAGAAATAGGGGGTCAATGTGCGAAAAAAAAATTTGGCTACGTGGGATGGCCCAATCAGCAACTCCAATGAATCGGAGCACACCGTGTGTCAAAATACGCTGACGTTGGCACCACGCGAGAGGTCACGCAGACGATCTGCGTGCCTAGTGATCTGAGAGCCCAGGTTTGATCCTGCGCATATGAACAGCTCAGTTTCGTTCCCTCATTAAATGCGATCGAACATACGAGATCAATCATGATGAACGGTCCAAATTCATTTTCTCCTTAAGTGCGATTGGATAGACGGGATCAATCGCGATGAATGGGCCAGATCAACGCAGGATGGGTGTAAATACCTCGTGTTCTAGGAGAACCCAAACCCTAACTGTTAGCCCCCACTGGAGAAGAAGAACCAGGCGACGGAGAAGGAGGCCGACTGCCGATTGCTGCTGCACCAGAGCCACTACCGACCGCCAAAAAAGGTAAAAATTTTCCCTACCTGTTTGAAATTTGATTTTGAACATCCTGTCACTAAATCAGAGCAAGAGAGATAGCGGGTGAGCCGAAAACTGCAGGTAAAGCACAATAGGGCCACCGCGGCCAAAACCCAAAAATCTCTCTGATGAGCCCCTTCCTGCTTCTTATTTCATGCGATTTTCTGATCATTGTGTTCACTGTACTTTTTTGTGCATGTTAGCTGAAGGAGGAACCCCAGCCGCGAAGGAGGACTGGCGAAGCCGCCACACCCGAAGACCCCCCTGCCGGTACGTTCAGCTTTTCTGTGATTTTTTGGCCAATTAAGGCCTCCTAACGTGTTTTTCCGCAGGGATCTGTGTAAACCGATCAAAACTGGTCAGGCCAAGCCGAACCACTGCCATGGGCAGGGGAGCCAACACCAGAGCACATGGTGCCGCCATGCCGGAACCCCAAAATTTGCGGGAAAGAGTTTTGGACACCAATTTTGAATTTTTTTTTGGTATTTTTTGGTACATGACGAGTGTTTTAGATTTCACAGAAAAAATTTAGAAAATTCGATACCCATTAGGAGACGTGGTAGATAGCGCGACGTCTCAAAACACCGATCCAGGTAAGGATCGCTCATCCTATTTTTTGTTATGGTAAATTGAGGCTTAACGATGTATAATTTTGTGTTTTGTGAAAATTTAGAAAATCCTAAAAATAATTATAGGTCACTAGTAGAACCGAAACTGGTTAGTTCACAATTGTCTTGATTTTCTATTTATTTTTCTGTACTATCCTATTTGATTGTTATTGTATTGTGCATGTTCTTAATTTATAGTTTCAATGGTCTTATCAGTTATCTGGTTTTTTTCAGTTAACTAGTTACTTGATCTCCTATTATTATAAGCCACATCATCTGCAAAAATATAGTCTAATTGATCTGTAAATATAATATGAGATATTGGTATGAACTTTTTGGTTGTTTCATTTAATGGGAATCTTTATATGAAAGATTTACTGGGTAGCCAGGAAAATGACAGACGGGGCCTAGTACGTAGGGAACCCTACCGTGAACGTCACCTCAATCGGATGGGGTTGGGAAGTCCCATACTAGAAAGGTTTGAAAAATATTATTCACCCTCATACCGGACAGGGTATGGGTTAGTCGGTTAATTGTTAAAATTAGATATTGGGTTCACGAGTAAGGAAACATGACTATAAATCTTCAAGGGTACCAGTAAGCAAGTAAAAAAAAAGAAAAATTATTATCACTTGTTCTTTTATGTGTAAAAATGTCTAATGGTATGGATATGGGTCTTCATAAGTTATTTTTGAAAAACTCGTAACGGTATATATCAACCAAACATTTTTATGTTAAATGTATTTAATTAAAATAAGGGGTTCCATTAGTTGTTTTCCTAATTTTTACCAATTTTCAGTTTTTCGTATATGTGATTGGTGTGATATTCTTACTGAATTAATTTAGTTCACCATTTTATTAACCATTTCAAATCAAGAAAACCAACACCCAGATCCCGATGAATAAGAGAGTAATTCATTTTTTTTAAGGTTTGAGGCCTTTACAGTCCAAGCTAGACCTACTTTAAGGCTCTCTTTTCTTTTCCTTAAATATTGGCTCTTTTTTCTTTTAAACTAGGCTTAACAAAAAAGACACATTTTCCCTTTTCCTTTTTCCCAATTTTTTTCCCTCTCCTTTTCCTTCCTCTTACCAGATTTCTTCCTTTCTTCTTTTTTCTTCTTCTTTCTTTTTCTTTTTTTTTTCCTCTTTTTTTTTTAAACTCCAATGATAATAATAATAATAATAACAGTGTTTTTTAATTTTAAAATAAAAAATAAATAAAAATGAAAATAAATATAAGCCTCATGTCAAAAGAATTACAGTGCTCATCATTGCTATTATTTGGAGTACTTCCATAACATTTTAATTATAAATAGCCATGAACATTAAGTTTAAATAACATAATATTCTCATTCAAAGCTAACAACTCAAATTTAAGTTTTATCTTTTACCATTCTCAGAACTTTTCAAAAGAGTTGGGTAAAAGTAAAGTATTATGATATCTAAAAGTTTATTCATTTTTATTTCTCTCTTAAAATTTTACTAACTTAAAAATCAGAATGCTCCTCTCAATAACTCTATTAAATTTACCTTGATTATTCCAAAATTCTAAAAATTAATAAATTTAAATTTCTAAAAAAAATTTAATTAGCATAAGTAATCGACTTATTTATTTATGAAATAATTTATTTTTAATATGCATAACAAATTGATAACTCATTCTAATCACAAAACTGAATTATTCTGAACAGTACTATTTTTTATTTTAATTCAATTTTGATTCATATCAATTAATTATTGTTATCTGTAAAATATTTAGGAGATCTGATCTTTTACTCAGTTCGTACTTTATAATACCTGAGAGTTAATGTAATATCTGATATATAAAGATAAACTATAAAATATTTAATTCATTTTTTGTTCCATCATATAATTAAATATTTGATTTACAATTTTGTCAATATCACTTTTCATTGAACCTTCCACACGTCTAGTTGTAATAGGGACTATTTTTGTGCGGTCGAAGCAACCATAAAAATTACTGGTTCTCCGGGAAAACGGAAACGACGTCGCGTGATATTCCCTAAACTATGACACGTGTCAAATGGAGTGTCGGCACATTCATCTGACCGGACCAACCACCTCTTTCCGCTAAGATCGCTGCTTCTCATAAAACAGCGCAGAGAAACGACATCGTTCGGGTCTCCTCCTTCCGTATCCGTGACGAACTCTTCTAAAGTTCGAACACCCACTGATTTGGATTATACAAAAACAAGAATATAAATCCAAATCTGCAATCGGTATTACGCTTTCGTGTCTGCGCAGACATACAGAGAAGACGGATCTTTTTCAGTCATTATATGAAAATCGGTACACTTATTTTACCTTCTGTTTTCTCATAGCCCTTTGGAAGATTGTTTTTGGAAAATTGTGATTTCTTCTTAATCTGCAAAATTTAGCCTTTGGTACTTTGACTCCTGTTCAATAACCTTAATGTACATTCATATAGTTTATGGGTATTTGATTTTCTTGATTATTTTACCTTGAATGCTGTTTGCATCTTACTTTCTGCTTTCTGTGGCAGTTTTTAGCTTCTAGTTTTAAGGATTCTGCTTGCATCTAAAATTCTTTTACTGGGTTTTCTTCCTTCGTTGCCTGCTTCACCTTTAGTAGTTAGCAAGGTTCGGTTTCACTGAAAGTCCATTGGTTGGTTCTGAACAGGCAGGTCTAATAGTAGACAAATTTATCGTTAGCAAGGACAAATTTACTGAAAATCTGCCTCAAGCTGTCCCTTATGTGAAAATTTTAAACTTATTTTCATGTTCTGGTGGATTTTATGTAACTTTCTTCACGGTCGTTGACATTAATTTATGTGATACGTTACAATTAGAGTTCAGAAGTTGGCATTTAAGCTAATTTGGAATACGTCCGAAATTTGTATGGAATTCATTTATAAATATGCATTTATCTCAACTAGAGTACTATAAAAGTCCTAGCTCAAATCACTGGGTTGTGTTCATATGGAATTTGGAACAGATTGTTCTAATCTCTCGTTAAAGTATGTATGAGCCCAATGTTTTTATCTTTTCACAATAGAATTTGCATTTTGGCCGTTTATAATGTGTTAGATTTGCAGATAACTTTGGCATAGATTCTGGATTTCTTCCAGTCATAACCTTAAGCTGAAACTGTAGAGATTTTTAATTCATACTAAATGGATTAGACCTTTTTTTTCTTTTGAATATGGTCTAGTGTTCTTTTCTTTTGAACTAGTTAAGTAGGAAAGATGACTTGTCACGGTTTGTAACCATCGTGGTTACATGACTTCTATTTAGCATGTGCCATATCCTATTGTCTGGCAATGCATAGACTTGACTATGTTCTAGTTTGAAAAGGTATAAAAATTATGGGGATTTTTTGGTTTTGAATTGAATGCTAACTTGGGACTAGTTATATATGTAGATGTATTATTATCCTGGGAAGTTTCTTTCCTGTTTGCATTGCTGTTGCCCTTGGTTCTTTAATCAATGGATCAACACGCTGGGATAACTTTGCCTAATCAAAATTAAACTTGTTTGTTTTAGTTTTTAAGGCTGCTACTTATGTTATGGGTTCTGCAAGTACATTAGCAAGTGCACAGGGATCACAACCCCTTTTATCATTTGGTGTTATTTCCGATGTCCAATATGCTGATATATCTGATGGTCGCTCATTCATGGGTGTCCCCCGATACTATCGGCATAGTATTGTTATACTGCAACGGGCAGTCCAAAAGTGGAATCATCAAGGAAAACTTAAATTTGTGATCAACTTTGGAGATATTGTTGATGGATTCTGCCCAAAGGATCAGTCCTTGGCTTCTGTGAAGAAAGTGGTTGGTGAATTTGAGAAATTCAATGGCCCTACACATCACTTGATTGGCAATCACTGCCTTTACAATCTTCCCCGTGACAAATTAATTCATTTGTTGAAGATTCCAAGTCTTGATAGACATGCATACTATGATTTTTCACCAACTCCAGAATACAGATTTGTTATTCTAGATGGCTATGATATCAGTGCCATAGGTTGGCCTGAAAGTCATCCAAATACGTTAGAAGCACTGAAGTTTCTCAGGGAGAGAAATCCAAATACAGACAAGAACAGTCCAGTAGGACTGAAGGGCCTTGAAAGAAGGTTCCTTATGTTCAATGGAGGTATTGGGAGAGAACAGATTGAATGGTTAGATGATGTTCTTCAGGATGCGACAAAGTTGAAACAGAATGTCGTGGTCTGTTGCCATCTGCCTCTGGATCCTGGTGCAGTATCCCAAGAAGCTCTTTTATGGAATTATGATGAAGTGATGGATGTTATACACAAGTACAAATGCGTGAAGGTTTGCCTGGCTGGACATAATCACGGAGGAGGGCATTCTGTTGATGCTCATGGAATACACCACAGAACATTTGAAGCTGCGTTAGAATGTCCTCCTGGTACAGATGCATTCGGGTATATTGATGCTTACCACAACAGGTTATCACTTTTTGGCACTGGTCGAATGGAAAGCACTGATATGTATTTCAGCAATTAAGTCTTCATAGAATACTGCCTCCAATTACTGAAACTTCTTTGGGAAAAGATAGGATATAGATCAATTTAACCCCACATCTTGAACAACAAAGAACGAGGAGCAAGATGGTTGCAGTTGCTTGCTTGCTGTGAAATTTGTAAGAGTCTTAACCTGTAAAGACTTATATAATTCAATGGGTATTATCCTTGCTACAATTGCTTTGAATGTTACTTTCATATGAATACATCTGATTCAATTCTCATTCAAATTTTATTAGCAAGTACTAGAATTTCCCAAAACAGTTTAAATGATATCGTAACTTTCACGTTGAATCAAGCTCATTCCTAGAGAGAGAGATTTGTAAATCCTCTTTTGAGGAAGCCATCTCCAAGTATTAGGTTAGGAGAGGTTTTTTTAAGAGAAAAAATGGGGAAGAACTGGAATTAGAGTGGTGAACTCTCGTAGGAGGCTGTCGTGCTATCCTTGGCATGTTAGGAAAGAAATTAATTCAAACATAAAGTTAAAATCACAATAAAGATGTCAAGAATATGATAGTAATAAAGCCAGCTTAAAAATTAAGGTCGGAATTAAATGAGAATTCAATTAAAAATATTGTTGGTTCCTGTTCCTTTACATGTATAAAACATTATTTATCACTTTTATTTGCTCTGAAATTGAACCATCAACGATCCATCTTGGAGCAGTGATTAACAGATCAAGACATTAGCAGATACCATGATAGGAGCAAATGGAACTACTTCATTACTGCCATCTTTACTACTTGTGATTTCATAATTCTTCTTCTCAAACTCATTTTTATTATCAAACTCAGTAATAAAAAAAATAATTTATTATTATGTACAAATGAAACATTAGAAAATAAAAATTTGTAAAAGTAAAGAATATGATGGTAACTTATTAATTGACCTTTTTTTTTTTTTTTTTTTTTGAAAGTTTACATACATATTTTCATCATTAGGCTATGTTACCTAGGTCTTGCCCATCATTTTCAAAACGAAACTCATTTTTATCACTTTCACTTAATTTGTTCCTTTGTTCTCCGCAAATTGACTGACCCCAAAGAAATATATATATATATATATTATCACAAAAATATATTATAAGAAATATTTCAATGTAAGAATAAGAAAAAATAACCATGCATGTACATGAATTAATATACACACACACATATATATATATATGTATATCTTCAAATAGAATCAAAGTAGCTTTCTTTTTATTATTTAATCAATAAATATGTTGGTGTAATTTAATTATAGAAATATTTTATATTTATCTTACGAGATATGTATTTATCATGAAAAATATTTTTTATCTATTATGATAATTATTTTATATATATTCTGAAGAGTTTTGTAAAAAAAAAATTCTTATAATTTGTTTATATATTAGGCTTATAATTTTATTAGTGATATACTCTCATATTTATTATTATAATTATAAAATAAAAATATAATTTTTTAAAATATCTTATATTAGAGCAAATTATCAAATAAGAACGAAGACTGTAAATTTTTTATTTTTCATAACAATGATTTAAAGCAGCATATATGTATATATATATATATGAAGCATTAATTGTATAAAATAATTATGATAACTATTAGACAAAAAAAAAAAATTCCAAGGAAAAGAGAAAGAGATTTGTTATTGGTTGAATTGAATTTAGCAATTACAAATTTGAATTATAGTAATTTTAAAAAATTAAATCATAAGACAAAAAATTGAAAATTAAATTGTAAGAAAATATAGGAATTAAACTAGTAATTTACAGTGATTGGGATTTATTTGTAAGGAATGGAGGCAATTAAATATATGATATTTTAGTCTGAATACAAAAATTTCCGTGCACTTGGTTTGCAATTCAATGCATATCTCACGTGGTTCTCATAAATATGTTGAACGTAGACTTTTCTAAATAATTTTGTATATTAAATTATATGGAAGTAAAATGGTGACGATGATGCATCGTCATATATATTCTCTAGGATTCTCCAACGACGCCCATTACTATTTTATCATTCATAAAAATATTTTAAATTTTATCTATTTAATTAGGTAAATAATTTTAAATTGTAAAAACTAAAAGTAAAAGCACAACCAAACGCATTACCTACCAAGAAAATTTTTAGATTTCAAGATAAAAAGGATGAAATTTTCATTTTCCAGTGATCAAACAAGTACATAATAATTCCAACACCCACCCCATTTCTGATCCTAACCGCAACTTCAACATAGACCGCTACCTTGTAGGATCAGGACCGTCTAATTCCAAAGCTGGGACCCACTGGATCATGTGTCCCATCAGTCCCAACGGCCCAGATGAAAAGACAAGTTCCAATATTTCTCTCTCTTTCTCTCTATTTATATATATATATATATATATGTAAATATGTAACAGGGAATGAAGACGTCGATGAAAATAATGAGTGAAAAGACGACATGCAAGGCAGCATACTAAGAACCATTCTTGTTACGATCACTTTTGTCGAGACGCTTTGCCCTTTCTCTTCTCCAAATAGAAGAAGACAAACAAGGAGACGACGGAGAAAACACTGAAGCAGACGGAAGCAATGTCGAGTGACACGTGGCGGCCGGTGATTGAGTGGATCTGGAATAGGTTAGTGGTTTTGTGATCATCGGTGGTTTGACCAAAGGCCACCTCCTGCCCTGCGGCGTCCAAGGCGTAAGCGCGTACGAAGAACGTGGCGAAGGGCACGTCGCGCTCGATCGTCCACTCGAATGTTTGGAGCTTCTTAATGTAAGGCCTCTCCACGATCTTGAACTGGCATGTTCTGTCTTTAGACAACTCCTCCTCTGTCTTCCTCCATGGCCGATCCACTTGGCTGATTGGCGCGTAGCATAACTTCACCTCCACTTTCTTGTAGGTCGAGTCAACCCCTGCTGGCGCGCTCTGGTTTAGTCCCCACGTCACTGTCATCTTCTCACCAACTTTCAGGACTGCAAAAAATATACAAATTAAATTAAGCACCACATAGATATATATACAAACCCAGAACTTGGTTTTGACTAATATTAAGAGATGAGAGAGAGTTTGATTTTTTAATAATTTACCGTCTCCATTTTTAGGCGAGGCATTGACTTGGAGAGTTTTTTTCAGAGAAGAGAAAAGAGTATTTCCGTACGAAGCTTGTACCAAGCAAGAGAGAAGTAAAGAAGCCAAGAAGATACCACGAGGCGCCATTGATGGAGCTGATAAGATTCTTAACAACCAAGAAGAATCTCCTGAAGGTGGGAAAAGTTGAGAGAGGATCCCAAAAGTTAGGCATATAGCAGTGATTGCGATGATAGAGTTTATATAGAAGTTTTAGAAAATTTAAAAATGGAGAAAAGGGTGGTTGTTTCTTAAAAAGTCAATGGGAGGCAGAGTTGTTATTTTTTTTATTAGCCTGTAGGTATCGATGAGTGGAATTTTCTTATGAGGAAATTGGCCCTTTAATAGGGCAAAGAGATGGATGGGCCAACAAGTTTGCTTGGATTTTTTTTTTTTTTGGTTTACAAATATTGATTGTTAATTCATTGACTTTGTAATTATATATTTATAATAAAGATATAATTTGATTAATTAAGAAGAGTGTGGAAATTGCAGTCTCAAGAGATGAGAGGGAAATACATGGCATCCAGATTAAGTTTCATAATTTATCTTATTGTACTAATCAATTGTGAAAGATCAGTTTGTCCCCTAGTGCCTTGAAAAGATCAAATTAACCAGCAATAAATCTAAGAAGTGGGAAGAGATTTGAGCCGTTGAATAAAAGGAAAAGCCAAAGAGATAAATTTAATCAAATAAAAAAAAAGAATAATAATAATTCTAAAACAAGTTGCAGTTGCATGCACACTAGCTAATTTTATATTTACAGAGAGCGTATAAGAGTAAATATTACTCGTCGACACCCATCATTTACAATTTCTTGAAATTTAATTAAAGAAAATATTTTAAATATTTAAACGATACAACTTTTTAACTACAACGGAAAAAGGGGTTTTTTGTGGCGCTTGCAAAGTGCAGCTAAGGTAGATCGCTGCAAAACCACCATGAGAATAATAGAGTAAGGCGCTGAAAAAATAAATTTATGATCATCCATATGGCGATGATCAAGTCCACCATAAATTTTATGTTTTCGTTTTGCTAAATAAAATCACCACAAGAAGGTATTGCCACGTGACAATGCTTTTATCCACTATACTCATGGGTCTCAAAACTGGTGCAAAATATACAGTATTTTCTCAACTATATTTTTATTTTTTATAAAATATTATGTAAATTGAATTGATCTTTATAATATAAAAGACATTAATTTAAATGCATAACACAAAAACATAAATAAAATCACTTAAAAAAATATCATGTAATAATACAATACAAAAACTCATTTTAACATCTAAGCACCGATTGAAAAACCTAAACACCTATTCTTACAAAAATAATTTATTTGCTCTTTATATATATGAATATATACATATGTCTACGTTTATATGTATGTACAAATACTAGAAATAAGGAAAGACAATATCTATGTGCCTAGATGTCCAAATCATCAAGACTAAGCATATAAACATTGTAGTTTATACAAATAAAAAATAAAATACATGAATGATAAAATCTAAATATGTCATAATTTATTAGACACCATATTTTGACAAATTGTACATACCAATAGTTATTTAGCTCGACATCTTATAAAGATAACATCTTTAAGACACGATAATCATTTAGTTCAGCTCAACCTAAGAGTAGCATCTTAACATCATTTTGAAAACATAAACACTAAATAAAATAGAAACTATCTCATATTGCTAAGTATATATAATTTTTATTTTTATTTTTGACAAAAATTTCTATGGCATTCCATTTCTTCTTTTGTATATTGCTTCCACTATGCATCTTCTATTACTTTAGAAACATGCAACATAAATCAATTTCGATAGTTGATTTTCTATCTTTATAACAAAAACATACTTATAATAAACTTCTCAGTAGAACAATCTTGTTGCTCTTCTTTTGTTTTCAATTTATCAAATGGGTTATATGTATTCTAAGATCATTTTTGGAGTAAAAAGGAAGAACACATCAGTAACGGCCCCGGAAATTTAAAATAAAATATGTGTATTAAAAAGATTAAATGCGGAAGCGTAATAAAAATTTTGATTTAACATCCCTTACACTAAAACAAAAAACGTGCTCAAAATATAAAAGAACAAACTAACTAAAAGAGAAACTCGAAAATAAAAGCTATAAATATGACTACGGAGTCTTCAGGCGTCCCCTTCGCCGTCTTCCTGCGGAACGGCCTCGGGAATAATGTCTTCCTGATCTGAAATGATTAAATAAGGAATGAGCTACACCAGCCCAGTAAAGACATCACACTATCTCACCGTCACGGAGGTAAAGGTGGGTAGAAAACACAAAAGGACCAATGGAGCATAGTTTACAACAAACTCGTTTATTAACATAAAAACCTTTACTATCCACTTATCTCGGTGAAATTCATAAAACAATATACGAAAGCAATAACATTATCATCATCACGAAATCATAGAAACTGTATAACATAATACTTATCACGCCTTTTGCATCTCAATCATTACACAACATATTTTTCCTTATTTACCAGCCTACTAGTATCCATGGGGATCCATAGGGGTCCCGCTACCCGTGAACCCTTAACACTTGTAATCAGATTCCAGGGCCGTCCCCATACCCCGTCCGGTATGGGCGCCAAAACTATAAACCTCAATATCCCGTCCGGTATGAGGGTGAAACGGGCCGTCCCCATACCCCGTCCGGTATGGGCGCCAAAACACATAAGATCTCCATACCCCGTCCGGTATGAGAGACCACGATCCTGGTAGGGTTCCCTACGGACCCGGTCCGTCCACCATCTCCTAGGATATCTAGTCAGGCTGACCATATTATACAATTATCAATTCACATAACCTTTCATTTCCCTTTTCCTCAGTCTGCATCATCAATTCGCAAACAAACAAGCAAACCATTAATTTATGCCAAACAACACAACATACAACATCGGGTTCTCAGTCATTCAACCATAATCAATAAAACAGTAATATGTGCACACAAAACTATAAAATGAAAACATAAGACCTCATACTGCATTTAAAACCGTAAAATAGGCCAAACAACAGCTAACAGACAAACACACCAGACTCGGGCTCCATTAGCGACTTAAAACAATTTCACACATATGTTGATTCATGAGATACCATTTTATCATTTATTGAACTTTAATACCGTGATAGGAAGTAGGGTGAGGAGTCCTTACTCGTTTCAGGGTCCGAACACGGCTCCACAATGCGCCTACAGGTTGTCCCTAATTTTTCCTGAATTTTTCCCGGGGAACTGAAATGCACTACTGGTACCTGCACGTGTCCCAAAAAATCCCAAATTAGACCCAGGCCCCCTTCGGCCAATATCGCAATTCCGACACGGCGGCTCCGCCATGCTCCGGCGACGGCGATTCACCTCGGGTTGGCCGTTTTTGGCCGTTTCCAGCCGAATTCGGCCACACTTGCATCGGTCCTTGTGATAAAACAACCCTAGGGCCCTTGGGGGGCCAAAAAATTACAGAAAACTGAAGCTTACGGCGGCGGTGCTCTCGGGTGCGGCGGCTCTCCCGGCGAGGTTCGTGTTTTGGTGATTCGGCTCCGATCAACCTGTAGAGAAAGAATGGTGATCACGGTGATATAAAAATTGCATCAAACGGAGGCCGGGAAGGCCTCATC